GGAGGTCGCCAGGTATCCGGAGCACTCCCTTCGAGACTGGGCTAGTTTTTAATCTGGGTCCCCAGCCAGGCTGAACATCAGCACGGGTCGTCTAACACCTTGTTCCAACCCAGAGTTTTTTTCACCTCCATTAGAGTGGTCCAAAAACAATAAAGTCGCAATTTTAATGCCGCCATCTCCTAGTATTGTTCCATACCGAAAACAAATATACCCATTTTTTTTTATTTTGAAATCAAAAAATATTTAGGGAGTGCTCAAAGCGCTCAAAGTTTTCCATGTATTTTATATGGAGAAAAAAACAATTTTTCGTAGAAATGGTATAAAACTCTTGAAAATCAATATTTTTTGACCGGAAAACTGTGGTTCACCTCAGGAGACTTTCACTGTTAATATCCAATTGTTTATTTAACCATTTTTTAATATTAAAGATTTTTTATTGGTCCCCCCATTGCATTTTCTGAGGGTTTTGGAGGACCTATAAAATATAGTTACCATGAAAAAATGGTTAAAGAAACAATTGGGTATTATTACTGGGAATCCCCTGAAGATAAGCAAAGTTCTCCGATTGAAAAATATTGATTTTCAAGGATTTTACACCATTTCTACGAAAAGTGGTTTTTTCCCCATATAAAATACATGGCAAACTTTGAGCGCTGTGAGCACTTCCTAAATATTTTCTTATTTCAAAATAAAAAATAGGGGCATATTTGTTTTCGGTATGGAACAATCCTAGGGGGTGGCGGCATTAAAAATCCGACCTTATTTTTTCACATACAATTTTGGACCACTTTAACCTCCATAGGCCACGATCAAAACAGATTTCCATATAACTTAGCTATTGAGGAGCTTAAGCACATAGCACTGATTTCTGATCTTAGCTGGACAGCATTCTGACATCGTACAGAACCTAAACTGTAGTGCCCATTACCAGTCGGCACCCTCGAGGAGGGTTCAGCCGGAGGGTTTTCGCCGACCTATTGCACCCATACTCGTACCAGTCTTTGAAGCAGTGTTACGACTTAATTGTATATCCCACAGTGCACACAATCGAAAGATCACTATATTACAAAGAAAACACTCTCGCGGCCTTCCTGGACATTGGGGGTGCTGTCAACAATGTATCTCCTGCAGCGATAATCTCATCTCTGACACATCTGAGAGAAAGCAATTCACTAACCTCATTTATTGAACGAATGTTAATCGGTCGAGAAATAAGCGCAGGATTAGGTGAATCAGTAATAAAAAGGTTCCCCGTCAGGGGTACATCCCAGGGGGGTGTAATATCACCGCTCCTGTAGAACATGGCAGTAGACAGCTTCTTTGAGAACTTGAAGATATCGGCGGTTAGATAATTGCATACGCCGACGATATTGTAATAGCTATCTCGGGTAAACATCTCTCAACATTGACAGATCTGATCCAAAGATCCCTCAACAAACTATCGGTGTGGTGTAACAGGCGAGGACTGGGAGTGAATCCTCAAAAAACAGGCCTTGTGCTGTTCACTAGGAAGCACAAGATACCTGACCTCGGGAACATAACCAAATATCTAGGTCTCATAGTAGATAGGAAACTAAACTGGGGGCCCAACGTTACAGATAGAGTGCGCAAAGCAACAGCGGCACTGTATTCCTGCAGCAGGGCAATAGGGAAAAGATGGGGGATGGAACCCAAAATATTACACTGGCTATACACGGCGGTGGTTAGGCCAATTCTCTATCACGGTATAGTGGTCTGGTGGGACACTCTTGGGAAAGGGGTAAACTTCAAAAAAGTGGACAAGGTTCAAAGACTTGCGTCTACACTCATAACTGGTGCGATAGGAACAACACCACCAAGGCACTGAATGCCCTACTGAATTTTCTTCCGGTGGACCTACATGCCAAACAGGTCGCAAGTGGTGCAGCAATTCGAATGAACATTCTAAATAAGTGGTCAAATACCAGTCATGGTCACGGTAGCATACTAACGGAGTTTCCGGGTTTTCCCGGATTGGTGGACTATGCACTTCCGGAACTTGCACCCGCTACAGCGTTCGCGACCCTCCTACCCTCAAGGGAAGAGTGGAAGCATGACGGTGTAAGTAGTGGAGAGTCCATCCATATATACACAGATGGCTCAAAGCTCGAGGGAGGGGTTGGAGGAGGTTTATACTCCCATCACCTGGGAATCTCCCTCAGCTTTCGTCTCCCGGACCACTGTAGCGTTTTTCGGGCTGAACGATGGCAAACGACAGAGCCACTAAACTGATAAAGTGTGATATGATATTCCAAGTTGATATCTACATCTTCACTGACTGCCAGGCGGCAATAAAGTCCCTCACGAAGCAGTCGACAACCTCCATGGTAGCCATGAAATGCCGCGCATCTCTTAACGAGATGGCTGAGTCATTTCGTCCAAAGGTGATATGGGTTTCGGGTCACTTCGGCATAGAGGGGAACTGTAAAGCCGACGAACTGGCGCGACCTGGCACGAAACTTCCATTTGAGGATATAAACGACGAAATAGGAATAGCCTTGCAAACTTGTGAGCTACTTATCTCCAAGAGGCTTACTAAGGTAGCGAACGACAGGTGGCAGGACGAAATCACCTGCAAAACTGCCACACAATTGTGGCCGGTGCTCAGCGCCAAACGCACTGGCCTACTACTGAGTCTAAATAAGCCCAATATTGGATTATTAGTATCTGTCATAACAGGACACTGCCTAATTGGCAAGCACGCCTATCGACTTGGCCTAAGTTTACATGACTTCTGTAGAAGTTGTCAAGATGAAGAGGAGCAGGAAACGATTCTGCACCTGTTGTGGCAGTGCCCTGCTCTATCCAGACGAAGACTCTCCACTCTCGGTAGGCAGTTCTTCGACGACTTGGAGGACCTTAGATGCGTCGAAATCAGGGATCTTCTAAAATTCGTTCAAAGTTCAAATTGGTTTTAGGAGGGATTGGGAGTTGCTGACCCCACATGCGGCATCACAATGGGCTCTGAGCCTAAGTGTGTCTTATAGACGACCGCGACAACCTAACCTAACCTAAAGACCAAATAGTTAAAAAAAAAAATTAATTAGTTTATCTGCTGATACTAGGTACCTGTTCAATATGCCTTGGTAGGACTAAAAAATTTATTTTAATGTGTTTCCTTTTTAAGAATTTGTCAAAAAATGGAATGTTTTGTTTGCTTTAATACTTCTATTTCTTGATTGAGCGATTTTGGTCGAATTCAATAAAGCACGCCAGTCGATTTTCTTCCGTGCAAACTGACGCCGATTGAAAATGCCAAATCCAAACCAAGTCCTTCTCCACCTGGCCTTTCCATCGCGGTGCAGACATTCCTCTTCCTTTGCTACCAGTATCATGATCCCTGTTGTATACTTTAAGAACTGGAGCATTTGTGTGCCTTCGTACGACACCGCCGAGCTGCAGTACTCTCGCTCCCTTTCCTTTCGATTCGACAAAAATTACGTGCGAAAGGATGTAGTAAAGTTTTATTTTGACAGACAAAAACAGAAACATTAGGTGTGTACTCGTATTGAGAGGACAAAATTCTCCAGCAGCAAAAGTTCTGAGAAGTTAGCAGCATTCGCTCTCAAAGAGACGAAATATCAACAGAAGTACGAAAACGCAAAATTTGCAAAAACTTGCAACCTTCGAAACAGCTGATCACTTGCACAGTTGCCACTGGTGATTAATTTGGCAATTTATTTTCTGTTTGGTACATTTTCCCCCGATTTGGCATTTTATACAAGTGAATAGTTTTCGATAAGAAAAACCTTTTTAAAATACAAATTAATTATATCGGAATGAATAAGTTATTTTTCTCATAATTACTTGTGATATCACATGGTGACGCATTCAAAAACAAGAGTTTCTCCTCCAAACACCCATCATTGATCCAAAATAAATTTAATAGACATAGCTAAATATGTAGCTTTAAAATTATAAAATTCATTTTAACAATCAACCTACCAAAACCGAAAACTTCAGCAAAAAACATGCTGCATTTAAATCTAGTTTGGTATGTTTAAAGGAAAATTATGGTACAAACGAAAAATGTCATACGGCAACCATAGTCAGCACACACTAGAGTAAACCAACTGGAGATTAATAGCAAATTAACGAAAAATAAACTCAACAAACGTTGTGCTTATTAAATTTACTCACTTTTTCGTTGTATACTAGCATTAGTAATAAAATTTGCAATAAATAACTCAAAATGGCCATATTTTCTTTTGTTTATTTACAAACATGTGTTTGTGATCAGCTGATTTTCTTACTTGCAAGTTTTAGCTGGGAAAAATTTTTCCAGCAGCTCTCTTTCACATTTTGCTCTCTCAATTTCCCCTACTTCACAAGTTTTTTGGGTACGAGAACGCAAAACCAGTAAAAGTTTTCTAAAACTTAAGATAGTTGGGCGTACGAGTACAGTCCTATTAAAACATGAGAGCATGCAAATTCGCAACTTTCTAATCAGACTTTTTTTTTTTTAAATTTTGAAAATGAAGTTTGTGCTGCCCATTAAATTTTAGTTGATTTTTGGTAATGTTTTTACTGAGAGTTTCTTCCATACAAACTATGTTCGACAATTCTTTTTATATGGAAGACACTGTCAGCAAAAAGAAAAATGCTAAAAATCAACGAAATTTTCTGGCAATTTCAGACCTGCACTTTATTAATTGGTTCAAAAGCTACATTATCAAACATTTTCTTAAGGATCTGATCAGAAATTATGATCTGATGAAAAAAATCTGAGCCAATAATTTTGTACTCTGTGCACGACATTTTGAACGTATTTAGGTACATATTAATTAATCAACCCTTTGCACTTACCGATTGCTTTTTCATAATTAAGTTAAAAAAATATGTAAATTCCAGGCTGCCTGTTTGCTTGGAGGTAAGTACGTCTGAGTTCCCTCTGTGTGCTTCTTCATTTAAGAGGACTAGAGACTTACCTTATAAGATCAGGCTATGGCTTATGTGTTAGAAAATTATATGGTATTGGAAAATATTGCTATAATAACTTGGTTTTATTCATCACTTTATACAACTTCATTATAACTTTACTCTCATATAATTATACAGTAATACTTAAATAAATGGATTCATTATAAGGCAAGGCATTTGTGAATAATTTACAATTACATACACATACACATACACATATTTAATTATTTTATAAATATTTATTTCTACTGTTGGCCATTTATTATTTTGTATGTATGCATATGAACTATGCAATTATCAGTTAAGTCTTATTGCGCTTTAAGATGTATGTACTATACATACATTTTTAACGTATAAAATTTAGAACTTGAGTCCAATAGAAATATTTTAACTGGTCGTTTTTGGATGTATGTACATAAATATGCCCATACTATGTAATACTCGTAACAATGCATATCAATAAGTCATATACACGCTGAATATTTTATTCATAGTCTAATATTAAGTATAGAGGTTAATACCTGTGTATAAAAATATTTTTAATACAAAATAATTCGTCTATCTATTGTAACGTACCAAAAATCAGCCAGTCAAAAGACAAAAAGTAAAATGCTTAATTGAACTTGAATTAGGATCTAAATACATATACTCAGGCATTTAAGAAATGTTCTATAAATCAGAACCTTCCCGCTTACCACGAGACATGGTTGAAGTTGCATCAGTGATGTAAAGGAATAGATCCTCAGGAATATGGCAACGATCCAGTTCACGACCAAGGGCAAAATACCGTTTTCTGAGCAGATGTGCAGTGGCCTTTGGCTGACGATTGCGTGTGAAAACCCCTTTTTTATTTCCGCCTACGCGAGTTATTGCTAATGAGAAAAGATAAATTTTATTAAAAACAAAATGGCTCAATATGCAACGTACATTGTGCTGTCTTGAAGTCCGCGAAATTCCAAACGAATTCGCCAATGAACCATTGTTTTTTTCGAAGAATGTCAAAGGCTTTAAAATGTTTAGAGAATAACTCGTTTTGGTATTCTTCTGACCAAATGTAGGCAGGAAGCAAATGTAATCCTTCGATGGTGTCGGCACCATATTCTCCAATCATGACTGGCTTGTTGTGTTTTTTGTTCCAAGCAATAGCTTCTTCAACAACGTTTGTGGTGATCATGTCCAATTTTCCGGGATTGCTATACCATCCGTTATAGCGGTTGAAACATATTACATCTAAATGCTTAGCCTGTAGGGCATATTTTCTTAAAAAAAAGGCGAACTTTCGATATGCCACGTGAGATACTTACAGCTCTATCGCTGCCCGAGGGAACTGCAATGGCAGCTGTTACAGGCCTTGTGCTATCAAGTGACCGAGTGAAATTAGCCACAAACCTAGTGAATACAAATATATGGACATGTACATGTACTTACATACATAACATAAATAAAGAGCTAATTAAATCTTACTGAAAGTGGGAATCCGCTTGGAATGGACTTGTACGAGGTTCATTGGCTATGGACCACATTATCACACTTGGATGATTCCGATCACGATGTATGAGTTGCTCCATGGCAGACTTATGCTTGTCCAATAACGCCTGGTTATAGTTGCTATATTATGGCATAAGGCATAACACTTATGTATAAAATCAAGCATCTACTATAAGAATCAGTTTATTTTAAAATACGTACTCGGTATCCACACTAGGACATTCGTCGATTATCATAATGCCATTTTCGTCAGCAAATTGCATAGACTCTTCAGAGTACGGATAGTGCGACGTTCGATAAGCATTTGCACCAATCCATTTTAATAAGTTCATATCGCGCGTTAGAAGCGCAAAATCTAGTCCTTTTCCACGTATCTGTTGATAAGAAAAATTTGTTTGGTATGTATTACGGAGTAGTTGTACATATGCATATGTATTGTAAAGAATTTCTACTATCCAGCCAGCAAAAAATCCGAAAACCGATCCGAAAAAGGACAAAAAAGTGGATGGAATGCGGATTTTTGTCCGTTTACTGATTCCATTTTCGGATACTTTGACGATCCGTTTTCCCACTAAAGTGTGCGGCAGAAACGTATGTAAAGAAAAGTATCGAAAATAGTTGTGAAACGGATACGTATTCAGCTGTTTTTTCTGAAATTTGTCTGCTTGAATTTTTCGTCAATACGCTTTCCTTCTGCACTTCACAGATACTTTTTCATGGTTCAAAAGAAATAAACTTAGGAAGCGCCTGATGGAAATCGAACACGGCACACTCCACTGCACGCTCAGCCACTGCCGACTACGCATGCATGCTTTCAAATGTTTAGCTTGAGCAAATAAAATGTAATTATTGCTTTCAAATGGCATCACTGAGTGAGTGAGAATGTGAGAATTCACCTTCGGGCCAGAGATATTTTAGTGCGATTCATGAAACGTCGCAAATTGGCATTTTTGGCCGAAGTGTCAATGTTGCGAAACTAAATTGTATGAAAGACCTATCGCAGCTCCGGGTTGGAAATATACATATTTTTTTCCAAACTGCCGCCCATAAGTAAAAAATAAAAGTTTTTACAATTATATTTCGAAGCAGCCTTACCTGGTATACTGTTTTTTGAAGTACTCGAAGACAAAAAACATGTGTTTCGCGATTTCGACTTTGCAATAATTAAGAGTGTTCGCTATGCAACTCCCAGTAATAAAGTTCAGAGAATAAGGTGTCTTACTCTCCCAAAGAGAGAAACTTACTAAGTTTTGCGCGAACAGGAATTAGCAAA